CGGAGCAAGTTATCTACCATGTAGTGGCGCTGTGTTGCCTGCTGCGGACGCTGTAGTCGGATAGAACTTGGGAAGTCCGGAGGGGACTCACCCAGACGACCGAAGCTCAGTAGCTGATGGACTTCGCCGAGTGGTGATTACAGCAATGCACTCCGAATGCGGAGCCGCCGGCCATTGTGCATCCACCTTAAGAGGGGAACTCCGCCCACCTTTGGGCAAAAATGTAGGGCACGCAAAATTTTCTAATGCCGAAATTTTATACGGCTAGGCAACTAACAACGCTGTTACGGTGGTTTTGTCATTGATATTGCCCACCCTCATCTTCTCTTTATAATTCAACCCCCCCCCCACCCCCCCCCCCCCGACCATTATCCGCATGACACTACGGAGCTCTGAAACCCGTATATGTGTTAAATATGCCAGTGTGCAAAGCTAGGCTCACTAACTTGCTGAGATGACAAGTGTAATATATTAACCGCATTTCTTTTTTTTTTGCAGAAAAATAAGAGCTGCAGGTCTGGCAATTACAATGACCCGTAAGGCCAGATCCGTGGACATCACTGACTGTCTGGAGACATCATTAGGCTCGTCTTCAAAAGAAAGTGAGGTCTGCTGCCGGCATGGTTCAAGCATAGGTGTACGGAAGATTCCCATTAGTAGGAAGGGAGGGAAGGTTATCACGTGCTCCCCCCTCGGTGACCAGGGGAAAGGGGGCATGCCTAATGGGCCACGTGAAGTGGCACATTAAGCGTGCCCATTACCAAACAGAGGAGTAATATGCCAATGGGTGTATTGCTATCAGTCGAGAAGTAATATTAAAAAGTCTATCGATTCTAAAAAAAGCATGCGTGCCTGATGAAATACCCCACCCCTTTTTGCAGCATAATGCGGAGTGTATACTTCTACTTAAAAGTTATTTTTCACAAGTCTATTTGTACTAGTTCTGTGCCATCTGACTGGTGCACAGCTGTAGTTGTCCCTGTGTTTAAGAGTGGTGATCGGTTGTCCGCCAATAATACCGTCCCGTGTCGCTTACATCTGCTGCAAAATATTAGAACATGTCATTGTCAAGCATATCATCACATCCTGGAAAATATAAATTACTTTTATCCTTATCAGCATGGCTTTAGGAGTAAAGTCTCGACTACACAGCTTTTTGAAACTATTCATGACTTTCCGACAGCTTTAGATATGAACACATAGATGTCATCTTAATTAATTTCGCTAATTTTTTATAAGGTACCTCACGACAGATTACTGTATAACTGCTGGACTCGGTCCACAAGGCTTGGTTCTTGGGTCCTTATTGTTTCTGATATATGTCGATGATATTGCAGATACAGCAAAACCCCATGTAAAGCTCAAACTGTTTGCTTATGAATGTTTAATGTACGTGCGAGTGACTGGTAGGATGGACAAATTAAACATTGCCAAAAAGGAATAGCACGCATAGTGTGAAGCTTCAGAAACGGAAATCAATTATTTGAAATTTGCCATCACCCACATTTCTAGGGAAAAAACGATAATTCCATTTGAATACTGTATCGGCAATCGCACCTTGTTGACAGTGCGTTTAAGTACCTAGGTCTCACAGTAACGCATAACCTAAAGTGGCACACACATATTGATAATGTTTGCTCTAGGGCTTCACAAAAATTGTACTTAGAAAAAAAGAACTGCAGGATGCAAGTATGGACGTAAAACTTCTCGCTTTTAAAACATTTATAGGGCCGTTACTAGAATATGCCAGCATTGTCTGGAGCCCCCGTCAAAAAGTGCTGGTAAATAAACTTGAATGCATACAATGGCTTGCAGCTCACTTCATATGCTCAAGATATAAGCAGAGCGACTCAGTCACCGAAATGCTACAACTCTGTGATCTGGAGACGCTCCATAAGGGCAGACGTAAAAATAGATTAAAGTTTCTGTTATTGAAAAGTGAGTTTAAAATTAACAGAAAAGATTACATAGAACAACCTCGGAAACTAAGCGAGAGGGTCAACCATACATGAGTACTGCAACCTTATTTTGTTCGAACGAAGGCGTACCGTAATACTTTCTTCCCCGATGTCATCGAAGATTGGCATGGGTGATGTTAATGAATTAGTGCATTTACTTGATTTACATTTACCATATTTACTTGATTCTACCGCGCCCTCGATTGTAATGCGCACCCGATTTCCACCCGCGAAAAAAAAAAACGTAAGACATCGACGATAGTTATAGCGCGAGAACAAAACGACGACACAGAGACAAGGACACGTGTCGTCGTTTTGTTCTCGCCCTATAACTATCGTCATGCCATACCAACTAGCCCAAGCTGCCACACTTGTAAGACATCGATTGCAACGCGCACCCATTTTTCTCGCTGGCCCGCACGATCACACCACTCGAAAAACGACTCCTTTCGTGAGCGTCTTCCATTTAAATATGAGGTACGGGCGAAGCTTGTGCTCATCTGACGTGTAACGGAGCATTGCAGTCACTGTAGTTTCGCCGTGGACTGATGTCAGCACGCGAACTTGCTTCGCCCCCTTCTTTTCGACGGTTGTGGTGCCAGCATGTCGAAGTAAAGAGGCGTCTGATCGCATTCCCGATTTGCCCAAGCAGGTACCCGTTGTTGCGCCGCAAGTTTAGGACGAACCTCTGAAAACTGTGAAGCTTTTCATCGTATTCCTCCGCAAACTTTTCGCATATGCATGTTCCCCTTCGGAGGGAAAGCCTTCCTCTTGATAAAGTTAGTTAGCCAGCACCTGCTCGCTTTAACTGGCTCCGCATTAGACCTTTTTCAAAGACTAATTGCATAGCCCGCACTTGGAGCAGTTCTGTCGTCACGGGCCGCTGTGCCGCTCGCTGCTCAAGCACATACTCGCCGAGCAGCTCTTTAATTTGCGGAAACCGACCCTGCTGTGGTCCACTGAAGCCTTTGCGTGAAGCTTTGCTGTCGTCAATCTTTTGCTTTTGTTTCCGCCGGTCCCGCACGCACATTTCGGAAACTCCGAACGACTGCGATGCGGCCCGATTTCCGTCCGTTTCTGCACAAGCGATGACTTTTCTTTAAAAGCGGCATCGTGGTGCACTCGAGTTTTTGGAGTCAGCCCTTCCACGCCGTCGATGCTAATGCACTACCAGATGACGAACTCCTAAGCACACGTACGAAGTGCCGCACATGGGAAACACATAGGCAGAAATGGCCGACGCGCCATGCCGACGCACGTAGGGGGCGGTCATTTTGGATTTGCCGATGGCAATAGATTGACCGAAATTTATTGTTCGTACTCGATTCTAACGCGCATTTGATTTATGAACTCGCTTAACCGGAAAAAAGGTGCGCGTTAGATTCGAGTAATTACGGTATGTGATTTATTGTAAAGAATATGTGATTGTTATCTGTTGCATCGTGAATCAGGGGTGTGTGTGTTTTTTGTTTGGAGTGCAGAGATTTCAGAGACTTGTATACACTAAGTATGCCTATATTTATCTTCGCGAGACCTATAGTTATATCCCCAATCAGTACAGTGTGTCGAACCTTTCCTGCAATGACCCTCAATAGAGGGTTGACAGTATTTCTAAATAAATAATGTTGGCGCGCCCTCTTCACTTCCCCCAAGACAACCGTAGAGGAGGGAAGCAGTCTCGGGACAGCCGCAGAGACTACAACGGTCGCGGCAGTCGTTGGTCGAAGAGGAACTGGCCTGTAGGGCAGGCCTTCTGGCGTGGCAGTGGCGGCGGCGGGCCCAGAAGCGGTGGCATGGGCAGAAGGGCCCCCGACTGGGACTCAGGCGGTCGCGGTGGCTGGAGTGAAGTCGAAGACTGGACAGCCGGTTGGCAAGACGGCAGCCGCTTGTTTCGAAACAGCCGCGGTGACACTCTGAGAAGGCGAGGTGGGCGCCGAGGTTCCTGGAGCCGCACTTGAAGACGCCCGGACACCACAAACCAAGCACCACCCTTTCTTTTTTGCTCAACGAGGCCAAGGTGATTGACGAGAGTTGTGGAGTAGCAGTTGAAGCAACCCATGCTATGGAGTTTTTTTTTTTTCTTGACAGCTCCCACTTGTGTGGCTGCCATGGTCCAAACTTTTCTGCTTTTCTTTGTTTCTTTTGGCTCTTGTGGTGTGGATTTTTGTCAACTTTCCTCTCTACTTTCTCTAAGCTCATAGCAGCAGAGTTGCTATGAGCTTAGAGCACATAAAAAACCGAAGGCTTGGCTAAGTGGATAGCTAGGATTCGAACCCTAATACCCACATCCAAAGGCAAGTGTCTTAACAACATCAGTGACATCAAAGTGTCGTAGCTGAACAAGTATCTTAGGAACCATACGATTGATTTCCTATCGGCAAGAGATCTCTAAAAAGATGTATAGCAGAGGGGTGTGATGGCCGGGCTAACTAACCACAACTGCAACCCAGCTTTCTGCCAAAAGCAGAACAAACCAGCATTCCGTAGGCAGGCTATCAAGATCCCAGCCGAAAAGCTAGTCCCGCCTAAGTTATCCGGGAATCTAACCTGCACACTCCTAATCTGTGCACTGAGTTTAACACCAGCAAAGTCTTTATTTTTTTTTTTTTGCCCCCTCTCCTTGTTTATATAATAAAGATTACTAGCTTCTTATGATGTAATAGCATCAATAAGTGCAGTCTATGCACTCTCCTCACAGCAAATATTCATAGCATGAGCAAAAAAAGGCACTCGGTTTCTCTTATTTTCAATTTTTATATGTGGTTTACAAGTGCTCTTTAGCGCTAGCGCCTGCTCAATATGCTACGTGGTTTTGCCTGTGTTAATATCAATCGAGGCACTAGAAGAACAAGAAGAGAGAGACCCCTTTGGCGTGGGGTCTCTCTCTTCTTGTTCTGTCGTATGTTGTTGCATTGCGCTGTGACCCCTAATGTGCTTCAAAAATTTTAAACAAAAAGCGTTATAACACAAACTGTTTGTTTCGCCAATCCCTGCTGATAAAAGTAGCACATGAGATACGGCAGATACAGTGCGAAGATACAGCAACCAGCGGTGTCCTTTATTGCAAGTCTTTTGGCTGCCCAATGCAGGAGCTCTCTCTGTCATGCAGCCTCTTCTTCCAGGAACATCGAATCACCGTCCTCAGTCTCGTGGCTGTGAATGCGAAGAGATATGCATTGCTTAAGTAGCTTGTATGAAAAGCCATTGTTAACAAGACGCACCTAAAATGCACCTAAAGAGTGAACAATCTGAAAGTAACAAAGAGTAACGATTATATATAATCCAGGCAGAGATGAAGAACAACGAGACAGCAGCAGTGCTTGGACTGTCTCAGCAGTGCTTGAACTGTCTGGTTGTTGATCCCTGTCTTTATATAATAATCACTGGTTTACTTTTTCAAACTAAATGATTTTACGTCTGAAATCCATTGCCATTTTCTTTTTTTGCTTAACCTTTTTCTTCTTGTATGTACAATACACTCTCTCACGAATATGATACCACATGCAAAGTACATTTATTCCCTACATAAAGTGGCATAGACAGTGAAGAGAGATGGCCTGTAAATGATCGTTCGTCCATTACAATGTAGGAAGCAAATTTTATGCCAGCAAGCTGAGTGTGGCTGAAGCTCTTCACCTTCAACAGATGATACCACATGCAAAGTACATTTATTCCCTACATAAAGTGGCGTAGACAGTGAAGAGAGATGGCCTGTAAATGATTGTTCGTCCATTACAATGTAGGAAGCAAATTTTATGCCAGCAAGCTGAGTGTGGCTGAAGCTCTTCACCTTCAACAGATTCCATGTTTGAGTTATGTGAAAGTGCACTGTTACGCGTAAAGTTGAAATGAAGTTATCGAGTGTTGCATCTGCTGCAGACAAAACTGTACTCACTAAAAACATGATCATAGCATCCATGCAATTCAACGTTAAGGATCGAAACAAAGCTACTGGTAGTGGGTAAAGTTGCTGCCAATTCATCATTGAGCGACACTTAGCACAGACGAAGAAGAGACCAAAGCTACAAGGGCTCAAACTGACAACCGATTAGATTTCTGATTAACCATAAGCAAGAACGACACTTAAATACGTAATTGTTGCAAGCACACCTGGTGGCACAAGTGGTCATATTGAGGGGCCATGATATGCTATAGATTGTACAGTTGAATATGGACTACCATAGCAGTGTCAGAAGTTGTAACGACTTGTGCTGAAGCCTTAACAACACCAGAAATTAGTCCTCTTACACGGCACATGTTATTCAGGCTTCTGATACTGCTGACTGTCCGTATTTAATTGTACTATCTGCGTCAAATGGAACCTGAACAGCGGCAAGCCTTCATGATGGTATAGTGCACGTTGTACACTTATCACTATGGATTGATTGATATGTGGGGTTTAACGTCCCAAAACCACAATGCGACAGACGCTATAGTGGAGAGATCCGGAAATTTTGACCACATGGGGTTCTTAAACATGCAACCAAATCTGAGCACATGGCCCTACAGTATTTCCGCCTCCATCGAAAATGCAGCCGCCACAGCCTGGATTCGATCCTGTGACCTGCGAATTATCAGCCGAGTACCTTAGCCACTAAACCACCACAATGGGGCCGCTTATGGCTGTAGAGAGGCACGCATATATGCGCACAGCTGCTAAACAGGATGCACGCGCCTGTCAATAATGATAACTGAACAGCGCACACTATACCACTGTGAAGGCTTGCCACTGTTCGGGCTCCATTTCACGCTGATAATACAGCCGCGGCCACGCCTGTATAGAGCGCTCTAACAGCAGGTTTCGCTCTGCGAGCTGAAACCTTAGTTTCGGGCTCTGAAGTGGTGTATCAGGAGCATGCATGGCTTAATTGTCAGGCTGACCACGTCAGAGCCTGATACTCCCTCGAGGTTTCGCCCCACACAGCAAAAACCAGCTATTCATGTGCTCTACACAGATGTGGCCGCAGCTATACATTCCATAGCGAATCACCGCCTCAGAATATGGCCACGTGTGCCAATAGGTGTGCATGCAACAATGTATTTAAGTGTCGTTCTTATTTATGATAAATAAGTTATGAATTTGAGCGTGTGTTGTTTTGATCTTTTTTCGCCCTTGTCTAGTGTGAAGCACTGAACATCGAAGTGAAGCTACTAAGCACCACATGAATGAAGCTAGGTTGCTAATGCACAAGCGTGGAAAGCGACTACGCAATTCTGAAGGCACGTGGCGATGCTAAACAACTGCTATACAAAGCTTTTATCTTAGTCGCTATTGCCGTGATCACAGTAATGCCCACACACTTCTAATGTGCCAAGAAAAATGGAAGACAAAAAAAATGTCTGCCCCATCCACTGAAGTCTTGGTAGCCAATAATAGATTGTGCCAAGACTGCGAATGGCGCTTTCTGAAGGCCCAAGACTGCAGTTCTAAAGGTTTCACAATACTGCGATTTCTGAAAGCCCGCGACCGTTTCGGTTGTTCGCAAACGCCGTTTTTGCTCTTTTGTGCGCTTCTTGCTTGGTGTGCTGAGAAAATCATATGAATGAACTGGGTTGCAGCCACATATTACAAAATTAGTAAAAGTATGATGCCATTAAACAATGCATAGCCTAGCCTAGACCAGGAACACGGCTGAATTGTCTGATTTTTCACTATAATGGGGTCAAATTATTAATCAGTTACTTTGTAAGGGTTCATTAAAAGAGATCCTAGTACGGCAAAAAGTATGTTTTTTTCATTTAGTTGTAGGGAACAACTAGCTGCATATTTGCAAAAAGCACAAAAAACTATATGTTTCATTCCTCAGGTAGGGCTAATAAGAATAAATGTGTTGCTTAAAACCCAGGCCCCTCTTATGAATGTGATGTACGCTGGTCATGCCAAAAATGGTGGGTGCAAAGTATTTACAAAACTTGTACAAAACTGACAGCAACTGATATGACATGGCATGACACGGGCAAAAGCTTTCAAGAACACAAAAAGATGTACCACTTGAGATTCCAAGTGTGTTGCTTTCCACTTGAGTATACTGTTAGTGAGAAAAATTTGCAAGGAAATCCTTACGTCTCTGGAAAAAAAGGTTCTTCTTCACGTCTTCTTTTTTGCTTCTGTGACAAACCAAAAGTTATGTCTTGTATACCACTTCTCCAGACTAACAGTGAAATGAACCAACAAACTGAATCATTAATGCTTTACTTTGATAAATTATAGCAATGACACATCTATAAAAATGATGTAGTCATGTAAACATGCTGTGGCATGTACTTAGATGGCTTTGCAAGGTAGTGTCTACTTACCGCTGGCATTTGCAGAAGTTCTATATATTTTTTTTCCTATTCAGCAGCACGCTATTTTTAGAACTTTGGAATGAGGTCTTATTACAATGTTTTACTAAGACACTTTTTTTATACATTACATTAACTCTTTTGTGTATAAAAGAGTGAGTAAATACTAAACTACAAGTAAACATTTGCAGTTGAGATTCACAAAAGTGCTTGGTTTACTTAAAATTCTACCAAATTTTTATAACCATGTAATGGTCCTTTTGAGGTCTGTTACAAAAGTATCCTACCTTTTTTTTTTGCGAGACCTTGGTGCATTTGAAACAAGCACGCTTTCATCAGCCGACCTTGAACCCTCGTGCGCATGCAAGAATTTAGCCCGCCTGCTAATAGCGTCCCTTGTTGGGTTGCAGCATTGGAGTGAGGTAGTGCGCAGTGCTCTCATCGGTTTTCCATTGCAAGGAAAATGACGGAGCGACCTGAGCAGCGCTACTGCATCAAATTTTGCGAGAAAATGGGCGGCAGCTAAGTGATAACCTTTGGGAAGACCAAGACGGCTTTCGGTGATGACGCTATGAGCCGCACAAGACGGCAGCACATCAGTGGAGAGCGAGCCACAGTCCCTGTCGGCCATCCACAAGCCAAAATGACCAGGTCATTGCCGAAGTAAATGCTGTGGTGATGCGGGACTGTCATGTGACTATACGGGATATTGTGGAAGAGGTGGGCATCAGCACTTTCTCTGCACATTCCATTATGACCGAAGATTTGGCCGTGAAGAAAGTTGCGGCGAAATTTGTGCCGAAACTGCTCATAATGGAGCAAAAGCAACTTGGTGTTGAAGTCTCACAGACCATTCTGAATTTACTTCACTAACGCCATTATCACTGTTGATGAGTCTTAGGTGTACGAGTATAACCCAGAAACCAAATACCAGTCGTCACAGTGGAAGCATTCCACGTCACCAAGACCAAAGAAGGCCTGCCAAGTGCGCAGCAACGTTAAAGTGATGCTGAGTGCTTTCTTTGACTCCTGCTCACACTTGTGGTACTCCACGAGTACGCACCACAGGATAAAAAAAATTGCCAAAGAGTACTACAAGGATGTCCATCACCCACGTGATGCTGTTGGCGCAAGAGACTTGAGTTGTGGTCAACAGGAAAATGGCGCATCCATCACGACAATTCTCCTGCACTTTCCTCACACTTTGTTCAGACTTTTTTGGCGAAAAGACAGACTCCTGTAGTTCGACAGACTCGTTATTCTCCTGATATGGCGCCCTCCAACTTCTGGCTGTTTCCCAAACTCAACAGGACAATGAAAGAAGAGTGATTTCTGACAAGGGAGGACATTATTGCTGAATTGACAGCTGAGCTAAACTCCATTCCAAAAGAGGCCTTCTCAGAATGCTTCCAACAATGGCAACACCGTTGGGAGAAGTGTGTGGAGTCTTAAGGGTACTACGTTGAGGGAGATTAGGTTTCCGAGGCTCCATTCATGCGTTTTTTTTTTCTTCCACCATAGGTAGGATACTTTTCTAACAGACCTCGTATACCCGAAAAAAGCTTAAAAAAGTGATTAAGACATAAATGGCAGATTCCAAAAATGGCACCTAGCTTAAACTAATGCTTCCAAAGCTTCAGAATCCCATCATGATGAAAACAAAAGCATCAGATCATGCTGTTCAACCAAAACTGCTCTTCTTAAGCAAAAGAAATAATTTTGAGCAGTATTGAGGCTAAGAAACTAACTCTGGGAGTGTTTGTAGATTTCTCAAAAGCTTTTGATATAATAAATTATGTAACCCTATTAGATAAATTAAATTGTTCCGGCATACACAGAATCACCCTAGATTTAATTAGAAGTTACAC